ATGATCAATAATAATAATAATAATATAACAACAACATCTGCCAGACTATCCCACCTCCTTTACATGGATGATCTGAAGCTGTATGGAAAAACATCATCTGAAATAGAATCGCTGCTCAACACTGTCCGTATATATAGCCAAGATATTGTAATGGAGTTTGGCTTGGACAAATGTGCCACACTTACTATCAAACAAGGAAAAATAGTGAAAACTGAAGGAATCAAGATGCCCCACGAAAATAACATTAAGAGTCTGGATGAGGAAGAGTACTACAAATACTTGGGTATCCTTCAAGCTGACAACATCAAGCACACTGAAGTCAAGAAAAAGATTAGAGGTGAATACATCAAGAGAGTGAAGAAGATCTTAAAGTCCAAACTCAATGGAGGAAATACCATAAAGGCAATCAATACCTGGGCAATTCCAGTCATTAGGTACACAGCTGGAATAGTGGACTGGACTCAAGCAGAACTAAAAGCAATGGATAGGCAGACCAGAAAAATAATGACAATGAATCATGCCCTTCATCCACGCAGTGACATTGATAGACTTTATCTACCAAGGCAAATAGGTGGGCGTGGAATGCTACAAGTACATCAGATGGTTGAAGAAGAAAAAATGGCTTTGGAAGAATATCTGAAGGACAGTGATGAAGATGCACTGAAATTAGTATATCAGGAAGGCTTACTGACTACTGGAGAGACCAAACTGGCCTACAAGAAAGACCAAATGAAGAACAGAATAGAGGCATGGGAAGACAAAGCACTACATGGCCAATACATTAAAAAAATAGCTGGGAAAGCAGATATTAACAAGACCTGGCAATGGCTAAGAGCAGGAAAATTGAAGAAAGAGACCGAGGGACTAATTCTGGCAGCATAAGACCAAGCCTTAAGGACAAATGCATACAAAGTCAAAATTGAGAAGACAGCAACAGACAGTAAGTGCCGCCTATGCAAAGAAGCTGAAGAAACAGTGGACCACCTGGTAAGCTGTTGCAAGAAGATCGCACAGACTGACTACAAGCAGCAGCATGACAAAGTAGCAACAATGGTGCATTGGAAGATCTGCAAAAAATATCATTTGCCTGTAAGCAAAAACTGGTGGGATCATAAAATAGAGAAAGTCATAGAAAATGATAAAATTAAACTGCTCTGGGACTTCAGAATTCAAACAGACAAGCACCTGCAACATAACACCCCAGACTTAACAATTGTCGATAAGAAAGACAAAAAAGTCTGGATAGTGGACGTGGCAGTGCCTGGAGATAGCAGAATAGAAGAGAAAGAACTGGAGAAGATGGAGAAGATAACAAAATACAAAGACCTACAAATAGAAATAGAAAGACTGTGGCAAAAGCAAGCAAGGGTAGTACCAATAGTAATAGGCTCCTTGGGTGCAATCCCAAAACAACTGGAGCACCACTTGAACACCATTGGCATTGACAAATTCGCTATTAGTCAATTGCAAAAGGCGGCCTTACTAGGAACTGCTTCCATCCTGCGACGATACCTGTAATACCATCAAACATCCACATCTGCCTATCCCAGGTCCTGGGTAAGGACTCGATAGGTAGACAAAATGCCAAATCCAGTCTGAACATCTGGCTGACAGTGTGATGATCAATAATAATAATAATAAAGATGGAAGGGACCTTGGAGGTCATTGAGTCCAACCCCCTGCTCGGGCAGGAAACCCTACATCATTTCGGCAATGAGAACAATTAACCAGTTGAACAACCTGCCTCCAGAAGCAGTAAATGCTCCAACACTGGAAGTTTTTAAGAAGAAACTGGACAGCCATTTGTCCGAAATGGTATACAGTTACCTGCCTGAGCAGTGGGTTGGACTTGATGACCTCCAAGGTCCCTTCCAACTTTATGATGATGATGATGATGAAAAGGGGGGCAGCTCTGGGCCCTAGAAGACATTTGGCTCTGCACAAGTATGCCTGGCGGGGCAGGGCGTTCCTTGCAGATGGCCCAAGAAGGAGTCAAGGAGCGGGTGGCATCTTTCTGGGCAGCGCCAGAAGGATGAAGCCGGTTATCGGTGTCCAGCTGCTGTTCATCTTTCTCCCGTTATCCAGCCGGACCTCCCGCCCTGCCCACGAGGCCCCCACCACCTGCTTCTCTCCAGATAAGGACCCCCCCCAACGATGAGTCCAAACAGGACCGTATCCTGCCTTATCAGTAGCTCCACCCGGGATGCCCCACCCGAGAGGGAGCTGCCCCCCCCCCCGAGCAGAAGCCGGTGTCGCTAGTCCGGCGTTATCGGAGGAGGCAGAGACCCAGCTGCCCTTCACCCCCCCCTCCGCTCGGCTCTGTTGGCCACCGCTGCTCCTAGTACCGTTCCAGCCAGATGGGTGACTTCCAACTCCCAGAATTCAGCGGGCAGGGGAATCATAGAATCATGGGATTGGAAGGGACCTTGGAGGTCTTCTAGTCCAACCCCAGGGTCAAGCAAGAGACCCTAGGGCAAGAGTAGGCAACCTTGGCTCTTTTATGACACGTGGACTTCAACTCTCAGAATTCCTGAGCCAGCATGGCTCAACTTGGAAACTTCTCCCTTTCCCCTCAGCATGGCTGGCTCAGGAATTCTGGGAGTTGAAGTCCACCAGTCATGAAGGGGGCTATAGTTCCTCCATGCTGGCTCAGGAATTCTGGGAGTTGGAAGTCCATGAGTCATAAAAGAGCCAAGGTTGCGTACCCTTGCCCTAGACAAATGGCTGTCCAATCTTTTCTTAAAACCTTCCAGGGTTGGAGCACCCACAACTTCTGGAGGCAAGGAGTTCCACTGGTTAATCGTTCTCCATCAGGAAATTCCTCCTCCATATATCGAATATGGATCTCAGAATACAGAATACAGTATAATAGAGTTGGAATGGACCTTAGAGGTCATCTAGTCCAACCCCCTGCTCGGGCAGGAAACCCTACACCATTTCAGACAAATGGCTGTCCAGTCTCTTCTTAAAAACTTCCAGCATTGGAGCATTCACCGCTTCTGGAGGCAGGTTGTTCCACTGGTTAATTGTTCTGTCAGAAAGTTTCTCCTTAGTTCCAGGTTGCTTCTCTCCTGGATTAGTTTCCATCCGTTGTTTCTCGTCCTGCCCTCTGGGGCTTTGGACAATAGGCTGACACCCCCCCCCCCTTCTTCTTTGGGGCAGCCCCTCAAACATTGGAGCGCTGCTAACACGTCACTCCAATTCCTTCTTTTCTCTAGCCCTGCAATTCCTTCTCCGCGTTTTAGCCTCCAGGATCATCTTTCTTGCATCTTCTCTGCGTTCTTCCTTAAGAGTTTTGGCATCTTTTTTTTGCAATTCACGGTGAGCAAAACTGGACGCAGCGTATCAAGTGTGAAGTCGATGCTTCGTAAAGTTGCCGAGGCAGGACCTCAGTGGACCTCTAGCCATAATAAGAGCAGGGGTCCCCAAACTTGGCAACTGGCTGGGGAATTCTGGGAGTTGAAGTCCACCAGTCTTAAAAGTGGCCAGGTTTTGAGACCGCCCCCCCCCCAGCAATTAGGGGGCTCTCCAAATCGGAGCCCACCTTCGGGCGAAGTCTCAGCAGCGGAGCAAAAGGGGCAGAGCCAAGGAAGGGGGTCTTTGTCCCCAAAGTGCTTTTTTTCCCCTTTCCTTTTTTCACACATCCCCATCCCCAACGGCCTGGGCCCGTCTCCAACAGTGAAGGCACCCAGGGCAGAACACATCCTGCAGCCAAGGAGACTCCATGCACCTTTGCACCACTCAGGGGACCCTGAGGACACAGGTACACCTCCAAGTGGCCTCAACGACTCTAAAAGGAGGCAAATGACCGGCGGTCTGCAAGGAGTATAAATCCTTCTGTTCCCCTTGAAGACATTTCACTTCTCATGCAAGAAGCATCTTCGGCTCTGACTGGATGGTATGGATTTATACTCCTTGCAGACAGCTGGTCATTCGCCTCCTTTTAGAGCAGTGGTTCTCAACTTTTTTAATGCCGCGACTCCCAACCGGTCGTAAGTCGAGGACTACTCAACCGGTCGTAAGTCGAGGACTACTCAAGTGGTGCAGCACTGTTGGCAGAATGGGACTTTTGGCGGGCTCAGCAGGGCAGAGACAGCCTGGACAATTCCTATTTGCTTTTGAAAGCCAATAGAATAAAAGGGAGTAGCACAGCTAAGGAAAAGGGGAAAAAAATGGCAGACTGCGTTGTTTGGCGACCCCCGTGAAATGGTCCCGACCCACAGGTTGAGAACCACTGTTTTAGAGAGTCGTTGAGGCCACCTGGAGGTTGACCTGTGTCCTCAGAGTCACCTGAGGGGTGCAAATGGGGGTGGAATTCCTTTCAACAGTTCCAAGAAGGCTCTACCCCCATCTGTGCTTCTGAGGACACAGGTACGCCTCCAAGTGGCCTCAACGACCCTCTAAAAGGATGCAAATGACCAGCTGTCTGCAAGGAGTATAAATCCTTCCGTTTCCCTTGAAGACGTTTCCCTTCTCATCCAAGAAGCATCTTCGGCTCTGATTGGATGGTATGGAAGGATTTATACTCCTTGCAGACAGCTGGTCATTTGCACTCTTTCAGAGTCACTGAGGCCACCTGGAGATTTACCTGCACCTGAGGGGTGCAAATGGGTGTAGAGTTCCTTTCAGCAATTCCAAGAAGGCTCTACAGCCATCTGCACTTCTGAGGACACAGGCAAGCCTCCAAGTGGCCTCAACGACCCTCTAAAAGGATGCAAATGACCAGCTGTCTGCAAGGAGTATAAATCCTTCCGTTTCCCACCATCCAGCCAAAGCCGAAGATGCTTCTAGGATGAGAAGCGACACGTCTTCAAAGAAAAACAAGTCCAGTTGCCTCTTGGAAAAGGCATCTTTGGGACGACCCTGGCCTGGATGGTGGAGAGTCTCTATAGACAAGGGGGTCTTTGGCCAGACAGGAGAAGAAGGTGGCGGCCCTCAGACCCCCCCTATGTTCCTGCCAGAAGCCCCCCCCCTCAGAGTCAAGACCAGGAGCAAGGTCCTTTAGCAAGGTCACAACTTTATTGTCCATTATAATTTCACATTTGGCTAAATGAGAGTTCCTGGCCACCTCTGGCCAGGGCAGCAGCCATGCACCACGCCCAAGCGGGGGGGGGGGGGGGAAGCAGGCAGCTTCTGTAGGGGGAGGGGGCTGGCCCAGGGGCTGCAGAAGGAGCAGTGGGGGGGGGAGGAAGGATTCGGCTACTTCCAGAGGCTGAGCAGGCCACCCCGCAAGGACTTCAGCCTTCCAAAATGGACTCGTTCACCCCCCCCCGGCACAAACCCCTGCCGAGGACCCATATTCACAGTGTGGGCGGTGCGAACCCCCCAAAATCCAGGGTGCCCCACTTCTCTCTCTGCCTTGGCAGTGGAGAGTGGGAGGGGGCAGAGGTGCCCCCAAGTTAGAAACAGGGTGGATCCCTTCTCCTGCAGGCAGGAAACCCCTTGCATGGGCTGGAGAGGAGGGATGAAGCCAGCCAGGCAACACCAGGGACAGCTGCCCTCCAGCCTCAGCGTGGAGGCCTGACCTTTCTCGAGGGGGCGTCAACCCAAGATGGAGGCCCCCAAAAGTAGGGCAAGAGGAGGGGGTATTGGCTGTTGGGGGGGAGACCCCGGGGATTCCTTGGCTGCCAGCCCTCTGGGTCAAAGGCCACCCCCGGAAGCTGCCCGGGTCAAAACTAGCGCTGGTGAGGAAGGGGTATGGCCTGGAGGAGCCCCCCCCCCGCCCACCCTTCCAGGGTTTCCGAGGCACGCAAAGGAGGAGGAGGAGGAGGACGGGGGGGGGGGTTTGGCAGCATGCAACGTCTGTGATCCAGACTGACCGATCAGGCACTTTCGCGGGGCAGGTGGGCCGAAGGGGAGGCAGTTCCACTGGATACAGGCCAAGCTGCGGACGGCTGGTGAGGGGTGGGCTCTGGGAGGCCAGACCCCCGCTAGGAGGAGCCAACAGACCCGGGGAAAAAAAAAAAACAGGCACCATCCGGAGACAAGGGGGGGCGGGACATGAGGTCAGGGCCTATGGGACCCCCAGCCAAAGCTGTCCGTCAAAATACTGCCCCGGCCCACCACCTCCTTTTCTGGGCACCAGGGCAGACCCTGCGGTCGGGGGGGGGGGCTCCAAGGCGGCCCACCCACTGGAGGGACCGAGAGGATGAGGGGAGGCCAGAGACCCTCCAGGTGTGAGTGCCTGAAGGGGGTGGGGAGTGGCTCTGGAGGGGTCAGGCCAGGTGAGGGGGGGCTCCTTCTGGGCAAGCAAGGGTCTGTGTGGGGTGGGGGTGGCGGGTGCAGGCAGTCAAGGCACGAAATTGGAGGTGGGGGCCGAGCAGGAGGGTGGGAGGTGTTTGGCTAGCACGACACAGAGCAGAGAAACGACTGACTCGGGAGACAAAGTCTCCTAGAAATGCGAGGACTGCTGGGGGTGGGGGGGACGTCCGTGCTCCTCCCACGATTAAGGCACCCACCGAGAGGGGCTCCCCCACCCTCCCCTGCTGAACGCCACGACAGCAGCGGGTGGGAAGTGCATAATGGGAGGGGTGGTCTTCTTCAGCCGGCGGAGAGTCAGGCTTGCACGCCCGTGGCCTTCTGGATCAAGGGGATCTGCAGGAGAGAAGCAGCAGAGGACACCGCTGAACGCAGCCCTAAAAAGAAGGGGGGGGGCTCCAGGTCCTGGGACCCCCACCTGCATCGTCCCACGTCTCTCCTCTGTGGGATGGAGAGGAGCCCCCCTCCCCAAGAGCTCAGGTGGGACCCCCGCCTCCGGAAACTACGTCCCTGCATCCCCGGCCGAGTGCCGAGGGCGAGGAGGTGCCCGGCTCACCTTGGTCAGGTCGACTCCGGTGAGGGCATGCACAGAGGCCGGGATCTCGGCCAGGAGCCGGTTCACCTCCGATGTCATCTTGCTGTTCTCTCCGCTCAGGATGACGATCTCGCCCACCTTGGAGAGGGGGGCCGAGACCTTGGCCGCGATCTGTGGAGGGGTAACGGGGTGAGAGAGCTGGAAGGGACCTCGGAGGCCTTCTAGTCCAACCCCCTGCTGAAGCCGAAGACCCCAGGGACCATCCCAGACAGACGGCTGTCCACTCTCCTCTTCAAGGCCTCCGGGGATGGAGCAGCCGCAACTCCTGTTCCACTGACTAATTGTCCTCACTCTCTGGAAATTCCGCCTTGCTTCTACCTTGGATCGCGCTTAAGAGCCGGAAGGGACCTTGGAGGACATCTAGTCCAACCCCCTGCTCAGGCACGAGAGCCTAGGCCATTCCAGACAAATAGCTGTCCAGTGTACTCTTGAAAACCTCCAGTGTTGGAGCAGCCACAACTTCTGGAGGCAAGGAGTTCCACTGATGGTCCTCGCTGTTAGGAAGTTTCTCCTTAATTCCAGGTTGCTTTTCTCCTTGATTAGTCCCCATCCATTGCCCTCCCTCCCTCCCTTCCTTCCTTCCTTCCTTCCTTGCCCTGTCTCTCCCTTTCTTCCCTCCCTCCCCTGCCTCATCCCTCCCTCCCTTTTTCCTTCCTCCCTTCCTTGCCTCATCCCTCCCTTTCCTGTCCCTTTTTCCTTCCTTCCTTCCTTCCTTCCCTGCCCCATCCCCCCCTTTCCTGTCCTTTTCCTTCCTTCCTTTCCCATCCCTCCCTTTCCTGTCCTTTTCCTTCCTTCCCTGCCCCATCCCCCCCTTTCCTGTCCTTTTCCTTCCTTCCTTCCTCATCCCTCTCTTTCCTGTCCTTTTCCTTCCTTCCTTCCTTCCTTCCTTCCCTGCCCCATCCCTCCCTTTCCTGTCCTTTTCCTTCCTTCCTTTCCCATCCCCCCCTTTCCTGTCCTTTTCCTTCCTTCCTTCCTTCCCTGCCCCATCCCCCTTTCCTGTCCTTTTCCTTCCTTCCTTCCTCATCCCTCTCTTTCCTGTCCTTTTCCTTCCTTCCTTCCTTCCTTCCTTCCTTCCTTCCCTGCCCCATCCCTCCCTTTCCTGTCCTTTTCCTTCCTTCCTTCCTCATCCCTCCCTTTCCTGTCTTTTTTCTTCCTTCCTTCCTTCCTTCCCTTCCTTCCTTCTCTGCCCCATACCTCCCTTTCCTGTCCTTTTCCTTCCTTCCTTTCCCATCCCTCCCTTTCCTGTCCTTTTCCTTCCTTCCTTCCTTCCTCATCCCTCCCTTTCCTGTCCCTTTTTCCTTCCTTCCTTCCTTCCTTCCTTCCTTCCCTGCCCCATCCCCCCTTCTTTCTACCCTCCCTTCGTTCCCTGCCTCGTCCCTCTCTTTCTTCCCTCACCTTTTCCTTCCTCCCTCCCTCCCTTCCCTCCCTCCCTCTTCTCCTTATTTCCAGCTTGCTTCCCCCCTTGAATAGTTTCCCTCCATGGCTTCTTGTCCTGCCTTCTGGCGCTTTGGAGAACAGCCTGACCCCCTCCTCTTTTTTTAGCAGCCCCTCAAAGACTGGGCGCCTGCTGTCATGTCGCCCCCCCTGGTCCTTGTTTGCACCAAGGCGCTTGGCAGCTCCAGGGGGACGGCTGGGTGGGAGGGAAAGGGGGGCCCTGCCCTCCCCCACCCACCCACCAGGCCTGGCCGGGCCGGGCACTCACGTGGGGCAGGGCGTCCAGCACCAGCGCCATCTTGGCTGCCTCCCCGTACTGCTGGTAGGCCTCGGCCTTGAGCTTCATCTTCTCGGCCTCCGCCTTGCCAATGGCCTCAATCACCAGGGCCTCCGCCTCGCCGATCTTGCGGATCTTCTCTCCTTCGGCCTGGGCAATCAGCACCTGCTTCACCCTTAGGAGAGGGACAGAGAGAGAGAGAGAGACGGGCATTTTAGAAGAGAAATGAGCTGGAAGGGACCTCAGAGGTCTTCTAGTCCAGCCCTCCCCCCCCGCTCGAGCAGGAGAACCTATGCCAGTGGTTCTCAACCTTTTTAATGCTGCGACCCCCAACCGGTCGTAAGTCGAGGACTACTCAACTGGTCATAAGTCGAGGACTACTCCACTAGTGCAGCACCGTTTGCAGAATGGGACTTTTGGCGGGCTCAGCAGGGCAGAGACAGCCTGGACAATTCCTATTGGCTTTGGAAAGCCAATACAATTAGACTCTATTCAAGAGAGTCTCTTCTATTGGCTTTCAAAAGCCAATAGAATAAAAGGGAGTAGCACAGCTAAGGAAAAGGGGGGGGGGGGAAATGGCGGACTGCGTTGTTTGGCGACCCCCGTGAAATGGTCGTTCGGCCCCAAATGGGGTCCCGACCCACAGGTTGAGAACCACTGCCCTATGCCATCTCAGACGAGGGACTCTCCAGAAAGCTTTTGATGGCAGAAATGCGTTTAAAGAAAAGTTTTAGCGTTTTAAAAAGGGTGAGCAAAAGAAAAAGAAAAAAGAGAGTATTTTGCCCCGTTAAGGTCAAAGAATCTGAAAGAATGCAGTGAATCTCGTGAACCCAAAAACGGTGATAAGTTCGTAAAGATTATTAAACCGATCCATTTATTCGAAGAGCAGAATAGGTTTAAATGTGTATTTTTGTACTTGGATGTCAACTTCTGGATTTTGTTCTTGAGATGGAAAATAAAATGGAAGTTTTGACTTTGGTTTGGTTGATTAGATAAGGTGGGCCGTTATAGAAACGGCTAGTTATGTATTGATGTGTAAAAGCAGAAAGTTGAGGCTGAAGTGATTTTATCTTGAACTGTGCTAAAAAGAGTCGGAAGTCAGTGCCTTTTCTTTTTCTTTCTTTCTTTCTTTCTTTCTTTCTTTCTTTCTTTCTTTCTTTCTTTCTTTCTTTCTCTGTCTCTCTTTCTTTCCCTTGTACTTCCCATTCTCTTTTTTTTCTCCCTCTCCTTTTTCCTTCCCTAATTGTCCCTTATTTCTAATTTTTTTCTTGGTGTTTTATAAATTACAGTCGTGGCCAAAATTGGGGAAACCCTTTTGGGAAAAGTATATTTTTGAGGTTTGATGGCTTTTTTGGGGGGGAGTAGTACCATAAAATTATATATCAATGGAAAGATAATTTAATCAAGAATGTAATGCAACAAAGACTGTTCAATTATCTGTACTGTATTCTATAAAAAGTTATAGCCAAATAACCAGAAAAAGGAAGCACAACTTGCTTATGTTGATCTCAGGTAGCTTTCCTTCATCTGATTGTAGCCAATGAGCATGAGTGTTTAGAGAGCCAATTGGGTGTCATCTTGTTTTGGCCATGAGCCAATCAGATCACAGCAGGATCCAGTTATTGATGTCCTGTATTGAAGCTGAGAGGAGGACATTTGTCAGGGTATTATGTGATCGCTATCAAGTTGGTTGGGTTTTTTGGTGTTCTTTCATTTAGTGAGCTTGTAAAACCTAATAAAATTAAAGCAATGGTGCAAAGAGTTGACTGGTTGCCCAGAAAGCGATGTAAAATAGTGTTATATAATAATAATAATAATAATAATAATAATAACAACAACAACAACAACAACAACAACAACAACAACAACAACAACACCCCAGACTTAACAATTGTCGATAAGAAAGACAAAAAAGTCTGGATAGTGGACGTGGCAGTGCCTGGAGACAGCAGAATAGAAGAGAAAGAACTGGAGAAGATAACAAAATAAAAAGACCTACAAATAGAAATAGAAAGACTGTGGCAAAAGCAAGCAAGGTTAGTACCAATAGTAATAGGCTCCTTGGGTGCAATCCCAAAACAACTGGAGCACCACTTGAACACCATTGGCATTGACAAATTCGCTATTAGTCAATTGCAAAAGGCGGCCTTACTAGGAACTGCTTCCATCCTGCGACGATATCTGTAATACCATCAAACATCCACATCTGCCTATCCCAGGTCCTGGGTAAGGACTCGCTAGGTAGACAAAATGCCAAATCCAGTCTGAACATCTGGCTGACTGTGCGATGATCCATAATAATAATAATAATAATAATAATAATAATAATAATAATAATAATAATAATAATGTTGGAAGGGACCTTGGAGGTCATCTAGTCCAACCCCCTGCTCAGGCAGGAAACCCTATACCATTTCAGACAAATGGCTGTCCGGTCTCTTCTTAAAAACTTCCAGTGTTGGAGCATTCACCGCTTCTGGAGGCAGGTTGTTCCACTGGTTAATTGTTCTAACTGTCAGGAAGTTTCTCCTTAGTTCTAGGTTGCTTCTCTCCTTGATCAGTTTCCACCCGTTGCTTCTTGTCCTGCCTTCAGGTGCTTTGGAAAATAGCTTGACTCCCTCTTCTTTATGGCAGCCCCTGAGATCTTGGAACACTGCTATCATGTCCCCCCTCATCCTTCTCTTCATTAAACTAGACATACCCAATTCCAACAGCCGTTCCTTATATGCTCCAGTTCCCTAATCATCTTTGTTGCTCTTCTCTGTACTCTTTCTACAGTCTCAACATCTTTTTTACATCGTGGTGACCAAAATTGGATGCAGGATTCCAAGTGTGGCCTTACCAAGGCCTTGTAAAGTGGTATTAACCCTTCACGTGATCTTGATTCTCTCCCTCTGTTAATGCAGCCTAGCACTGTGTTGGCCTTTTCGGCAGCTGCAGCACACGGCTGGCTCCTATTTAGGTGATTGTCCACTAGGACTCCGAGGTCCCTCTCACAGTTACTACTATTGAGATTATTAAGTGAACAAGGCTACAGTTATAAAGAAATTAGAAGAAACACGGGTGGAAACTTAACCAAAGGTGGCATTTCTCCTGTGCACTTTTTCCCAAAAGGTTTCCACCATTTTGGCCACTACTGTAAATAAATAAATAAATAAATAAATGGGAGGAAGAGACGGGCACTCATTAAGTGACCCAGGGCATCCTGGCTTCCTCATGCAGGTCAGAGGGACTCTTTGATATCACATAAGCTACAGGTAACGGCCACAGCAAAGCCCCAAGTTTTCGTCGCTAAGCGAGGCAGTCGTTAAGTGAACGGCGCTTCGTTTTACGACCTTGTTTTTGCCACCGTCGTCAAGGGGATCGCTGCAGCTGTTAAGTGGATCCTGGCTCCCCCCACTGGCTTTGCTGGTCGGAAGATCACAAAAGGGGATGGCGTGACACCCCCTCCCCCGGGGGACGTGGCGACCGTCATAAATATGAATTGGCCGCCAAGCGCCTCAATTTTTTGATCACATGATCACAGGGCCGTGAAGCCTGAAAAATGTCCGTAAGGTGCTTTTTCTGGGGGTCCATTTTTTTTAAATGCCGTTGTAACTAACCTTGAATGGTCACTAAAAGGACCGTCGTAAGTCAGGGACGGCCTGCAATTGGCCTCTTGGGAGGGCTTTTCAGAATATCAAAAGAGGTCTGGCTGATCTGAAGCAGCGGAACTCCTTGCCTCCAGAAGCGGTGAATGCTCCAAGACTGGAAGTTTTTAAGAAGAGACTGGACCGCCATTTGTCTCAAATTGTATAAGGTTTCCCGCCTGAGCAGGGGGTTGGACTAGATGACCTCCAAGGTCCCTTTCAACTGTATTATTATTATTATTATTTTGGGGGGGCAGAGGCAAAGAAGCAAAGACGACACCCCTTGGAGACCCTCCCCACCCAACGTGGGTCGCTACTCAAGGGTCCTGGGGAGATTCGGGGTGATCCTCAAGCAGGGTTGGGGGGGTGCCCCGTGAAACCGTCCCCCTCCCCCCCGAGCCAGGCCTGCCGCCCCCCCCGCCCCGCTCTCACTTCTCCCCCTCGGCGATCTCCTGCATGCGGTGGGCCTCGGCTTCGGCCGGCAGCCGGACAGTGGCAATGAGTTCCTTGTCCATCCGCAAGATCTCCTTCTCCTCCACGTCGATCTGCCTCCGGCGCTGGACCACCTCGATCTCAATCTCCTCCTGGCGGATCTTCTGCTGCTCCTTGGCGCCCTGCAGCTCGTAGGCCAGCTGAGCCTGGGCCGACTGTCGGGGAGGGGAGGGGGGGAAGAGGAGGAGGTCAGACCAGGGAAGAGCCACTGTTGAGGGTAAAGGTTTGCTCTGTGGGGGGGGGGAGAGGGGGGGAAAGGGTGGCTTCCCAAACATTTGTGGAAAGGAGGAGAAGGGGGGAGGAGGGGAGGAGGAGGACTGTGGGGTCCTTGGTGCCCTCTGAGCTGGGTGTTTTCTTGCAGACGTTTCATGACCCAAACTAGGGAACATCATCAATGCTAGAAGGGAGGGGGGTTTGCAGAAAGAGTGGGGGGGGGAAGAGGAGGAGGACGAGGACTGTGGGGTCCTCCTTGCCCTCTGAGCTGGGTAGTTTCCTTGCAGACATTTCATGACCCAACCAGGGAACATCATCAGGGCTAGAAGGGAGAGGAGGAGGAGGAGAAAGAAGACGAAGACGAAGAAGAAGAAGAAAAAATAGAAAGGAGGAGGAGGAGGAGGAAGAGAAGAAGAAGAAGAGAAAGAAGAGAAAGAAAGAAGAAAAGAAAGAAGAGGAAGAAGAAGAAGAGAAAGAAGAAAAGAAAGAAGAAGAAGGAGGAGGAGAAGGAGAAGAAGAAAAAAAGAAAGAAAGAAAAGAAAGAAGAAGAAGAAGGAGGAGGAGAAGGAGGAGGAAGAAGAAGAAAAGAAAGAAGAAAAGAAGGAGAAGAAAAGAAAGAAAGAAGAAAAGAAAAAAGAAGGAGGAGGAGGAGGAAGAAAAAGAAGAAGAGGAAGAGAAAGAAAGAAGAAAGAAGAAGAAGGAGGAGGAGGAGGAGAAGGAGGAAGAAGAAGAAAAGAAAGAAAGAAGAAGGAGAAGAAGAGAAGAAGAGAAAGAAAGAAGAAAAGAAAGAAGGAGGAGGAGGAGGAGAAAGAAGAAGAAGAGGAAGAAGAAGAAGAAGAAGAAAAAGAAGAAGAAGAAGAAGAAGAAGAAGAAGAAGAAGAAGAAGAAGAAGAAGAAGAAGAAAAGAAGAAGAAGAAGAGGAAGAGGGGGAGGAGGAGGACTGTGGGGTCCTGGGTGCTCTCTGAGCTCGGCTGTTTTCTTGTAGACGTTTCATGACCCAACTAGGTCACATCATCAGTGCAAGGTTTGCTGTACATTTATATTCCAGGGTCTTCTTGCCCTGTCTGTGTGGGCGGGAGTGCTCTTTTCTTTTTGGCGGTTCCTTAATTAAGGAACTGCCAGAGAATTCCTGGGAGCCTGGCACCCAGAGAAATCTGCCATTAATGGGCACACTGAGAGAAAGAACATTTAACACAACAACATTCGCCTTCAGATGTCACGTTTAATTCCACTGAAAAGGAACAGAAGGGACTGCTTAATTACAGCTTTCATTAAAAAGAATAAAGAAAGGATCTTCTTTAATCTCTTTTAAAATGGAGACATTTTACTCTCACTTAAATGGCAAGCTTATACTGGAAAAGATTTATGAGGCTGCTGAAGAAATACGTGCTATAAGGAAAAGGATTACTACAGAACGAAGAGTCAACTCTACCCAAAACTCTCAAACTGACTTTCAGATCACATCTGTTTATTCTACAATCCAAAACATAACCAGAAGAGGAACTAAGGGAGATTAAAGAGGAATTTGCTACATTGAAAGAGATGACCACCGAACTAAGAACCAGAAATTCTTCTTTAAATCTTAAAATTGACTCTCAGACTACATCTGACTATTCTACAAACCAAAATACACTAGGAGATGACTTCATTGAGAATTCAGAGGAACTTAGTTCACCGTACAAGCATCTTATCTGTATATTTTTGAGGATCAGAAAAAGCAAAGACTGAGATTTGAACCTTTAAAGCAGCGAGGCTTCAAGGATAAGAGAAATAGTTGATTTGGTTCCTGACCGACAATACTCTTGGTTTCAGTATAGACAATTGTTAGATAGATGGAGTTTAGATCAAAAAGTTGGTATTACTTTAGAAGATGTGAAATTGATAAAACAAATTAGAGATCAAAGTCGAACTCATATAAAGAGAATTTATAATGTATTAGTGGAATTGGATTCAGAGACGGAATTAAGCAAAGATTGTACGATAAAATGGGCCCAAAATTTTCAAGAGCCGATATTATGAGATACATGGGAGGCAATCTGGGTTGGGAATGTGAAGTTTAGTCAGGCTCAAAATTTACGAGAAAATTTTTATAAAATGTTTTATAGGTGGCATTTGGATCCACAAAAATTGTCTCGCATGTATCCTAATTTACAGCCTAAGTGTTGGAGATGTGGTTGCTTAGATGCAACCTATTATCATATTTAATGGACCTGTACAAATATAAAAGCTTTTTGGATTAAGATTTGGTGGAACATTCAGAAGATTTTTAATAGAAAGATAAAGTTTACACCACAATTGTTTTTGTTAGGTATTATTGAAGGTTGTGATGTTAAAGAAACTATTTTAATGTTGAATCTTATTACGGCGGCAAGGCTATTGGTTGGGCAATATTGGAAGAAAGATTCTTTGCCTACTATAGAAGAATGGTCGTTTAAAGTTTCTAATTTAGCAGAAATGGCCAAAATTTCTGCCTACTTGAAAGATCATTCACAAGAAAGATACATCTCGGTGTGGAGAAGATGAATAAATTTTGTACAGAATAAATATGGAATTAGAAAGTATTATTTAGTCTTTGATTAACTTATAGTTTAAACTGGGAGTTGTTTGTATTTGAGTTAAAGTATTTTAGGGAATTGGATAGTTGGATAAGCTTAGTTAGAATTTGTTTATTTTTTTTTAACCCTGTAATAAGCTCTGGGAAGTGAGGAGGGGGAGGGTTGGGGTGGGGGGGGGAGGGAGAGTTATTGTATTGTAATAATGTATTTGTATAAAACTTTTCAATAAAAAAAAAGAATAAGAGAAATAGAGGTCCAATGCAGAGGACAGGAGGCTTATTACTGCCTTAAATGGCATCACAAGCAACAAAGAGGGACCTATCGGCTGAAAGGGAAGCGCTGTTGTGGAAACCTGCTTGGCAGAAAAAGAAGCCTAGAGTAAGACTGAAAAGAGAAACTTAAAACTATATATACTGGATTTAAGGCATTTTAGAACTATGGATTGATTTAAGGACTAAGTTCTTGAGTTAGAAGAAAAATGGGTGATTATTAGAATATATACATTAAATAAAGTAAGAATGTATTTTTTGGAATAATAGGTTTATTTGTATGAAAATTATTATATAATGGAATGAAGAAAACTGAAGAGGTGTTCTAGATGGGGACTGAACGAATAATTAATTGAATGTTATTTTAATAAGATGATGTGTTTATTTGATAATATGGATGTTATTAGGTTTGATAATTAATTGGATGAAATCAGAACCTTGTCTAATGGACTTAAATGATTTAAGGTTGATATTACTTTGTCAGCTTAAAGAAATTGATTGATGGATTAGATATATATATAGGATAGATCAATATTTTATTTTAATTTGGAGCTATTAGTGGAAGAAGGAATAAACAAGATTTATGATAAAATTAAAGAATTAGGATATATTTGGAAGGGATACCTGAACTGATAATGTGGTTATTTAAAGTTAAATTTGATTATGGTCTTGTAATTGAATAAAGCTCTAAAACAGGTTTAGGATTAATAGAAATTTATGTTAGAAATATTTTAAATATATTAAGCTATTTGAGGGAGAGAGGGAATATTTGATGTACTGATTGAGTTACTTATATATTTTTTGTTTTTGATTTTTGATTACCCCAGCACCACGGTGTGTCTCGAGCACTTTGTCTTAAGAATTAAAAAACCAATAAAATTTGTTTAAAAAAAACGAAAGAAAAAGAAACAGAAGGGACACCAGAAGGCCAAGACTTCACCTTGCCAGCCATCAACGCCCAGGTGAGCAGACAGTCACCCCAAGATTAACACTAGACTAGGGGCAGGCAACCTTGGCTCTTTTATGACTTGTGGACTTCAACTCCCAGAATTCCTGAGACAGCCATGCTGAGGGGAAAGGGAGAAGTTTCCAAGCTGAGCCAGGCTGGCTCGAATTCTGGGAGTTGAAGTCCACAAGCTATAAAGGGGGCCATAGTTCCCCCATGCTGGCTCAGGAATTCTGGGAGTTGAAGTCCACCAGTCATAAAAGAGCCAAGGTTGCCTATCCCTGGTCTAGATCAACAGTCAAGCAGCAAACACCTCCTCAATGGAGAAACTATCAGACAAATAAACATTAAAAAAAGCCTAATCAAGGAACTGCCTCCCACCAACACTGACAGGGCAAGCTGTAAGATATCAATAAGGAGCAACAGTCCTCCTCCTCCTCCTCCTCCTCTCTGCAAACCCCACACTCCCTTCCAGCACTGATGAGGTTCCCTAGTTGGGTCATGAAATGTCTGTAAGAAAGCCACCCAGCTCAGAAAGCACCCAGGACCCCACAGTCGTCCTCCTCCTCCTCCTCCTCCTCCACTCCACAAACTCCACTCCTTTCCAGCACTGATGATGTTACTTAGTTTGGGTCATGAAACGTCTGCAAGGAAACAAGCAAGCTCGGAGAGCGCCAGGGACCCCACGGTCCAGCCCTGGGCTACAGATCTTCTCTCCTGCTGGCATCTAAGGTCTTTGGGGCTTCCTGCCACGAGCTTTCAACACGTTTTCCTTCCGCAGCTTCACTCTCTCCTCTCCCCAACTCACCTTCATGTTGATCTCCTGAGTGAAGGCAGCCTTCTGCATTTCAAAGGCCCTCTTGGAGTCGGCCACCTTGGTGTCCGCCATGAACTTCACGTCCAGCATCTCCTTCTTGCACTCGGCTTCCTGCAGCGACAAAAAGCACAGTGACCAAAAGCTCAGCGGGGTCCCCCAGGGCCTCCAGAGAAGAGGGCGAGCCAGCCGGGGGAGATTTGCTCGCTCCACCTACCCGGATGCCAGCGTCTCGCTCGGCTTCGGCCACGCCGATGTCGGCGTCTCGCTGGACCACGGCGATCTGGGTTTTTCCCAGCGAGCTCAGGTAGCTGACTTTATCATACACGTCCTGCAGGAGAAGGAATGAAGAGGGTCCGAGGGGAGCTCTGGGCCGGATCCCGCTCAGGAGCCTGCAGAATGTCTCATCGGCAGATTTCATAGTCGTCCTGAATTGGGACTTCAACTCCCAGAATCCCTCAGCCACCGTTTGTGGATTTCAACTCTCAGAATTCCCCCAGCCACTGTGTGTGGACTTCAACACCCAGAATTCCCTCAGCCACTGTGTGTGGATTTCAACTCCCAGAATTCCCCCAGCCACTGTGTGTGGACTTCAACACCCAGAATTCCCTCAACCACTGTGTGTGGACTTCAACTTCCAGAATTCCCTCAGCCACTGTGTGTGGACTTCAACTCCCAGAATTCCCTCAGCCACCGTTTCTGGATTTCAACTCCCAGAATTCCCTCAGCCACTCTGTGTAGACTTCAACTCCCAAAATTCCCTCAGCCACTATATGTGGACTTCAACTCCCAGAATTCCCTCAGCCACTGTTTGTGGACTTCAACTTGCAGAATTACCTCAGCCGTTTGTGGACTTCAACTCCCAGAATTCCCTCAGCCACCTTGTGTGGACTTCAACTCCCAGAATCCCCCAGCCACCGTGTGTGGACTTCAACTTGCAGAATCCCCTCAGCCACTGTTTATGGACTTCAACTTGCAGAATCCCCTCAGCCACTGTGTGTGGACTTCAACTCCCAGAATTCCCTCAGCCACCGTGTGTGGACTTCAACTTCTAGAATTCCCTCAGCCACTGTATGTGGACTTCAACTCCCAGAATTCCCTCAGCCACTGTGTGTGGACTTCAACTTGCAGAATTCCCTCAGCCACATGCGTGGACTTCAACTCCCAGAATTCCCTCAGCCACCGTTTGTGGACTTCAACTTGCAGAATTACCTCAGCTACTCTGTGTGGACGACAACTCCCAGAATCTTTCTCCCACAGAGGCTACCTGGGAGCCACCCCCTCCCTCCCTCCCTTCTGGGAATCCCCCTCCTCAGTGGCTTCCGCCAGAGCGCCTGCCCGAAGGCGGACCCTGGCCCCAGCCCCTCGCACCTTGATCGTGAAGCTGAGGATCTCGATGCCCATCCTGCCCACGTCTGGCGCCGCCACCTCCCGCACCAGCTTGGCAAACTGGTCTCGGTCCTGATAAATCTGCTCGACGGTCAGAGTGCCTGCAAGGCAGAGAGAATGGGTGGAGGAAAACACACACACACAGACACACACATATACAAACACACACACCAACAGCCAAGCAGGATGGAGGGGAGCAATACTGAAGGGCATCTTCTTGGATGAGAAGCAAAATGTTTTCCAAGGAAAAAAACCCAAAATTCCAATCGCCTTTTGGAAAAAACATCTTTGGGGCAACTGTAGCATCCTAAGTGGCCTGGCCTGGCCTGACCAGGTAGACCAGCCTCAAAGCCAGGGGTCAGCTTGTGGTCCGGTTAGGATGCCCTGCAAGACTGGACAGCCATTTTTCCGAAATGGTATAGGGTTTCCTGCCTGAGCAGCGGGTTGGACTGGATGACCTCCAAGGTCCCTTCCAACTTTACTATTATTATTATTATTATTAATTGGGTATGTCTAGTCTAATGAAGACCAGGGGTAACATGATAGTGTTCCAATATCTCAGGGGCCGCCACAAAGAAGAGGCAGTCAAGCTATTCTCCAAAGACCCTGAAGAAAGCAGGACAAGAAGCAACGGATGGAAACTCACCAAGGAGAGAAGCAACCTAGAACTAAGGAGAAACTTCCTGACAGTTAGAACAATTAACCAGTGGAACTCCTTGCCGCCAGAAGTTGTGAATGCTCCAACACTGGAAGTTTTTAAGAAGAGACTGGACAGCCATTTGTCCGAAATGGTGTAGGGTTTCCTGCCTGAGCAGGGGGGTTGGACTAGATCAGTGGTTCTTAACCTGGGCGATATCGCCCCCCCAGGGGGCAATTTTATTTTTCAGGGGGGCGAAGGAACAAAAAGGGGGCGATATAGTGAGAAGTTTTGGGGACACTTTTGAGACTTTTTCGTACAGTGAATCGCTGTATATCTGTCGTACAAAAACATCAGATCGCTGGCTATTAGTGGATTGAATTGTGTTTTCAAATGTTCCTCCATTTAGCTTCAGGACAGAACGCCATACATATGTGAACATGCACCGCTTATCTTCATGCACGTTGTGCAGCAGCCTCTACCCTTTTTACATTTCTTTTTGCATCTTAAATTTCACTTTTAATTCAATCATTAAATGTTACTGTTTTTCTTTTCGGGCATTTCACTTTCTTGCCATTGAATTTTGTTTTCAGTGGTCATTACATTTAAGTATCTTGAATAAATAAGATAATCATGAAATACATGAGCCGAGGTGGCGCAGCAGTTAGAGTGCAGTACTGCAGGCCACTTTAGCTGACTGTGTTCAGCAGGTCAGCGGTTCAAATCTCACCGGCTCAAGGTTGACTCAGCCTTCCATCCTTCCGGGGTAGGTAAAATGAGGACCCAGATTGTTGGGGGCAATGGGGGCAATGTAAATATATATATATATATATACACACATACATACATACATACATTGCTTACTGGTGTACACCGCTTAGAGAGTGCTTGCACTTAAAAGCGGTATATAAGTCTCATAAATAAATAAATAAATACATGTATAAAGTGATGGGTGGCACCAAAATTTTTTAAACAGTTGAGATATGGGGGAAAGACTGGAAATAAATTATTTGCATCGATATGTCCTGATGACAATTTTAAAGAAAACAAAACAAGGGTTTGCATAATTTGAAGAATTATTGCCTATGTTGTGATTGAGAGGTTATGTTGGGGGAGGGGAGTGATGACAACTTTCTCATTGGCTCAAGGGGGCGATTCGTTCAAAAAGGTTAAGAACCACTGGACTAGATGACCTCCAAGGTCCCTTCTATTCTATTCTATTCTATTCTATTCTATTCTATTCTATTTTCCTATTCTATTCTATTCTACTCCTTATTTTAATTCTATTCTGTTCTGTTCTGTTCTATTCTATTCTATTCTATTCTATTCTATTCTATTCTATTCTATTCTATTCTATTCTATTCTATTCTATTCTATTCTATTCTATTCTACTCTACTCTACTCTATTCCATTCCATATATTCTATTCTATTCTGTTCTATATTCTATTCTATATTCTATATTCTATATTCTGTATTCTGTATTCTATTCTATTCTATTCTATTCTATTCTATTCTATTCTCTATTTCTTTGTGACCCTCGTAGGCCGCCTTCCCCCCGGCCGATACGCACCCAGGATGGAGCGAAGGTGTCCCTCCAGGGTCTGCAGGACCACGTTCTTGATGTCCTGGACGTTCTTCCCCAAAAACTGCTCGCAAGCGACCGCCAGGAGTTCCTTCTCGGTCATGATCTTCACCTGCGAGGCAAAGGGAGGCAGCATGGTGGGAGAGTCCGCAGAAGACCAAGGAGAGCTGGCCACTCGCTTGGCTTCTAGGATCGCCCCGGCTCGGTTGGGCTGGGTCCCTAAAGATGGGCCACACCAGAGGGAACCCCCCGAGCCACCCCCCTCCCTGCTTTGAAGAGCCTCCCGTACGGGGGACAGATCAACCCAAGGAGAAACGGCTGACCTCCGGCGTAGACACGAAAATGGTCGACTCGGGTTAAACCTCCCCAAATCTTGAATGCTGCTAGGTTCACGGGGTCTCCACCTTCAAAAGGGTCCCTGGGCCCCCATCCAGGCACAACAGGTGACGCTTCCAGTTAATTAGACAAGTATTTTTCGACCTTAAGGTTAACTTTCAAGGTTGGTGGACTTCAACTCCCAGAATTCCCCAGCCAGCACAGCTATTTGAATTGAGGGTTGTTCTATAACCCCCCCCCCCGCCGGCTCGTGGCCTGATACAGATGTTAAATCTGTGTTTCTTTGGGCACTTGAACTCCCACAATGCTCCAGCTGGCTGGCTTCCCGATTTCCTGTGAGCTGGGGGATTCTGGGCGTTGAAGTCCACCTGTCTCCAAGTGGGCAAGATTGAGAAACGCCGAACTGGACCAGGCAGCAACCAGCACCAAATTCTATGGCCAGCCTCTTTTTATACCTCTCTTCCTCCGTAGCCCCCACTGTCCCCCTTCCCCACCCAGCCCCCCCTTTCAGGACCCCCAGATTATCTTGCTGTGGGTGCAAACACAGCCAAAAGGTAGAAAGAGATTGTCCTCGACTTACAACGGTTGCTTTAGTGACCGTTCGGCACTGGAAAAAAAGGGACCTAGAACCGTTTTTTCACACTTACGAGCAGTGCAGAACGGCCAGGATCACGTGATTGAAACTCAGACCCTTGGCCCCTGACTCACATTTATGACGGTCACAGTGTCCCGGGGCTGTGAACCTCCTTTTGCGACCTCCTGGCAAGCGAAGTCAGCGCGGTGGGGGGTGGGGAGTCAGATTCACTTAACAACGGTAAGAATGGCAGTGATTCGCTTAGCAACAGTGGCGAGAAAGGTCGTAAAACGGAGCAAAACGGGCTTAACGTCTGTTTCGCTTAGTAACAGGAGTTTTGGGCTCCCTTGCGATCCTAAGTGTATTTTGGGATCCCGGCAAGGGAAGGAATCCAGCAGACAGGCTCTGTTAAAACTGCACAAGGAAGAAAGGTCAGTAAATGGGTCTGGGGGAGGGAAAGAGGGCGGAGCAGGTCAATGGGAGGGGGTTGGGCTAGATGACCTCTTAAAGTCCCGCCCAGCCCTAGGATTCTACTCAACTTTTTGACGGAGATGGGAAGCCACGGAAAGCAAACACACACCTAAATTCTGAAGCCCCTCTTGATTTTTACAGGGTTCCCCTCCCCCACTTAGCTTGCTTACTTTTATTTTCATCTGGCTTGTTGTTGTTTTTAAAAAAAAAATGTCCCAAAAGCAGGCAGTCCTCAACTTACGACCATTTGTTTAGTGACCGTTGGCACTGGGGGGGGGGAAAGTGACTTACGACGGTTGCAGCAGTCCCCAGGGTCACGTGATCCAAATTGGGGCATTCGGCGAACACTTAAAAGGATGGCAGCCTGTTGGGAAAGTGTGGCTGAAATTTGTGGCTTCCCAACAAGCCAAATCCAAAGCTGGATTTAGAACACGGAATTGTAGGGCTGGAAGGGACCCGGGAGGTTGTCTAGTCTAACCCCCTGCGGGTGGCAGGAGACCTTATACATCAGGGGTTTCCAACCTTGGGCCGCTTTTAAGCGTTGTGGACCTCAACTCCCAGAATTCCCCAGCCAGCTAAGCTGGCTGGGGAATTCTGGGAGTTGAGGTCCACAACGCTTAAAAGCGGCCCAAGGTTGGAGACCCTTGTCCTAGATCATTCTGGACAAATGCTTAGTGGCTGCACAACGCCCTTCACAACCACACGGATGGCCTTAACAACCGTGGCCGAAAAAGGTGGCAAAATCAGCCGTGGCTCCCTAAACGACGTGCTTAGCGACTTGAATTCTGTGGTCGTAAGCTCGAGGACCACCTGGATACCTGGAAACAGTCGGGGTCCGTGGTGCCCTCTTGAGCTTCGTTGCACACCTTTCATCACCCAACTAGGTAATGTCATCAGCGCTGGAAGGGAGTGAGGTTTGCCCTCTGTAGATGTACACAAGTGGTTTGGAGAGAATATTTGTAGCTCAGGGGTGAAGACTGGGTGGATCTCCTTGCAGATGTTTCATCACCCAACTAGTTAACATCATCAGTGAAGGAGGAGGACTGTGGGGTCCTGGGTGCTCTCTGAGCTGGGTGGTTCTCCTTGCAGACGTTTCATGACCCAACTAGGGAACATCACCAGGGCTAGAAGTGGGGAGAATGCAGAGAGGAGGAGGAGGAAGAGGAGAGGAAGGAGAAGGAGGATTGTGGGGTCCTTGGTGCTCTCTGAGCTGGATGGTTTTCCTTGCAGATGTTTCATGACCCAACCAGGGAACATCATCAGTGCTAGAAGGGAGGAGGAGGACGGGGGGGAGGAGAATTGTGGGGTCCTGGGTGCTCTCTGAGCTGGGTGGTTCTCCTTGCAGACGTTTCATCACCCAACTAGGGAATATCATTAATGCTAGAAGTGGGGGGAATGAGGAGGAGGAAGAGGAGAGGAAGGAGAAGGAGGATTGTGGGGTCCTTGGTGCTCTCTGAGCTGGATGGTTTTCCTTGCAGATGTTTCATGACCCAACCAGGGAACATCATCAGTGTTAGAAGTGGGGGGAACGAGGAGGAGGAGGAGGAGGAGGAGGAGGAGGAGGAGGAGGAGGAAGAAGAAGAAGAAGAAGAAGAAGAAGAAGAAGAAGAAGAAGAAGAAGAAGAAGAAGAAGAAGAAGAAGAAGAAGAAGAAGAAGAAGAAGAAACTGTGATGTCCTTGGTGCTCTCTGAGCTGGATGGTTTCCTTGCAGACGTTTCATGACCCAACCAGGGAACCCCATCAGTGCTAGAAGGCTGTGTGTGTGTGTGTTCCTCTCCATAAAATGAAAACATTCCCTTCTAGCACTGTTGACATTCCCTAGTTGGGTCATGAAACGTCTTCAAGAAACCCGCCAAGCTCAGGGAGCACCAAGGAACCCCCCCCCCCATTTCCACCCTGAGCCACAAAGATGTTCTCCTACCGGTACAAAATAGATACCGCCCCCAGCAGCATTGCTGACAAAGAGCTCCCGGCGTCGGATCTGTCCTCATCCTGACCCAAACGCCGGGAAACACCAAACGGAAAACCGGAGTAGAGGAGGAGAACCTCCAGACAGACACCGGTGGGACCCGTCTCGAAATCCGGTGACGTCGATTCCCCGCCAGGCCCTCCGCGACGGCTGGAGGACGGAAGCACCCGTTTAGCGACCACGTCAGAAGAAGCAGCAGCAGCAGCCAGGCTTCCCACCCGAAAGGTGGCCGCTGTGCGGAGTGTGGGCCGGTGGCGGGGTGGGGGGGGGGAGTGAAGAAGCCCCATACCCAGCTTTGGCGAGAGAGAGAGAGGCCCCCTCCGTCTGGGTGAGCGTCAGCCTCCCGGCCAGCCGGAAAAAAAGACAGACCAGACACATGCATTCCTGGAAAGAGGCGCTGGAGGTACTGTACCTGGGCCACACCTGTGACAGTTAAAGCTACCCCCTCCGCCGTCTCTACGTCCTCACACCTGGGCTGTAACGTCATTATCTCTAGTGAAATCCTGCCAAGAGACGTAAAATATTGGCGGCGCGTTTCCAGCTGGCTGGCCCGGCTCTCCCCTTCTTCGCTGGGGGGGGACACCTGCTGCGAGGCTCCAAGGTAACGTGGAGGCTATACACTTCCCTGCATTTTTGTGTGTGTGTGTGTGTGTGTGTGACCGGACTGTTTCCTTCAGCCTCTCCCCCCTCAAAAGGGGAGTGGGAGAGCAGCTTTCTGCCCAACGCAGGGGTGAGATGCTGCTGGGAAGGGAGGGGGGCGCAGGAAAGTCTGACTGGGGGGCCCCACAGCATGTTCTCCCCTCTCTGCCAAGCCCCCCCCCCGAGAGAGATGGCCAGAGGTCCCGAGGCTGAAGGATGGACAGCCCCAAAGACGGCGAGAGTTCCTGGCTAGCTTCAGCCCTGGAGTCCAAGATCCGCAGGACGGCACCCTTCCCTGGTCTTGAAAATTAAGGAGGACCCCCCCCCTTTTAAAAAAAATAAAGATAGTAATAGCCTGACAAGCTATTGTGTGAATGTGCCTGTAAGAGGGTCTGCGGTCTGATACTGGGTTCTTTTGTTTTATTCGCCCCGAGGGTCTTTTATCGTTTTTCATCCTCAGCAACTGTCAAGAGTATGGACTTCAACTCCCAGAATTCCCTAAAGTGTGTGTGTGGGGGTTCCTGGGGAACTCTGGGAGCTGAAGTCCACCTAACTTCACCTGGCCCGTTTGGAGAAGCTTGGCCTTAACCAACGGTCAAGCGAAGGGCAGAGGGATGGCAACGTCAAGCCTATTATCTCCTTCTTCAGGGATTTGGGCTCGGCTGGTCTTCAGAACTGACCAGTGGCAGAGACTGCTTCAGAGGGGGCTGCTTTTTGTCTCGACACCAAAACAAACCCTGGTTTCCTCTAGGGAAGGGGCTGCCCTACATTGATGGCCCTCCAATCCTTCCCCTGAGCGTTTGCTTTCAGAAATCCTGGGCGCTCCATCACTAGAGGCTTTTAAGAAGAGACTGGACAGCCCCTTGTCTGAGAGGGTCTAGGTTCTCCTGCTTGAGCAGGGGGCTGGACTAGATGACCTCCAAGGTTCCTATTCTATTCTATTCTATTCTATTCTATTCTATTCTATTCTATTCTATTCTATTCCATATTCTATTCATATTCTATTCTTTCCATATTCTGTTCTTTCCATATTCTATTCTATTCCTATTCTATTCTATTCATTCTCTATTCTGTTCTGTTCTATGTTGTTATTCTATTCTATTCTATTCTATTCCATATTCTATTCTATTCTATTCTATTCTATTCTATTCTATTCTATTCTATTCTATTCTATTCTTTTCATATTCTATTCTTTCCATATTCTATTCTATTCTATTCTTTCCATATTCTATTCTATTCTATTCTATTCTATTCTATTCTATTCTATTCTATTCTATTCTATTCTATTCTATTCTATTCTATCCATTCTCTATTCTGTTCTGTTCTATTCTATTCCTATTCTATTCCTTATTCTATTCATTCTATTCCAGTGATTCTCAACCTTTTTAATGCCACGACCCCCAACCGGTCGTAAGTCGAGGACTACTCAACCGGTCGTAAGTCGAGGACTACTCAACGGGTGCAGCACCGTTTGCAGACTGGGACTTTTGGCGGGCTCAGCAGGGCAGAGACAGCCTGGACAATTCCTATTGGCTTTGGAAAGCCAATAGAATTAGACTCTATTCAAGAGAGTCTATTCTATTGGCTTTCAAAAGCCAATAGAATAAAAGGGAGTAGCACAGCTAAGGAAAAGGGGAAAAAAATGGCGGACTGCGTTGTTTGGCGACCCCCGTGAAATGGTCGTTCGACCCTGAGAACCGCTGGTCTATTCTATTCCTATTTTATTCCTATTTCTATTATTTCTATTTCTATTATTTCTATTTCTATTTCTATTCTATCCTATCCTATCCTCAGACTAAAGCAGGGTTATATGGTTAAATTGTCCAGAGGATGGCAATAATGGATTTGAAGCTTAACTTGTTTTTTGAGGAGGGCCTTTTTTTTTTTTTTTAAAAGCAGGATGTCCCAGGTCAGACCTGGGTGTTTTTACAGACCCCAGGCCACATCTGGCCCTCTGGCTCTCCCTATTTGGCCCGCATGGATCGGTTTTATTTTGAAAACAATTTTTTTTTTGGTCCAATTTCTATACGTCCTCGACTAGCGACAGTTCACTTAATGACCGAAGTCACAATGGAAAAAAGGGACTGGTGACCTTTTTTTTCATCACTGCAGCATCCCCGTGTGGTCATGTGATCGAAATTCAGATGCTGGGCAACCAACTCGTATTTACGACGGTCGCAGCGTCCCCCCGCCCCCGGGTCACACGATTCTTCTTTGGCATTCTGACCAGTAAAGCCACTGGGGGAAGTTGGATTCTCTCCACAACCGTGTCACTAACTTCACAACTTAAGAAATGTGACCAAAAACGGGGTCGTTCAATGGGGCAAGACTCATTTAATGACCGTCTCACTTAGCCACGGAGGTTTTGGGCTCGTTTGTGGACTACCTGTATCTTTTTTTCCCCTTTTTTGGGGGGGGGGCAAGGTACATATATGTCCGGGCGCAACCTCACAGCCCTGTTGATTCCGCTCTCTTCACAACAATCCCAGCTTCTCAGGGACAATTAATGGCCCACCCCTGCCCCAGGTGGACGGGGGTCTCCTTGGCCAAAAGAGAGCTAGCACGGGGTGGGACGGTTTGCCCAGGTGCTCAGCTGCCCCCCCCCAGACGCTTCCTTGACCCCCTCGGCCGGGTGGTGCTGTGTAAAGTTTGCAAAGCGCCGTCCAGGGTGAGCGAGTGCCAGGGAGCGTTCCCCATGCGCCCCTCTGGATTACCATGGAGGGCACGAGCAGGTAGCCAGAGCCAGAGAGAGAAGGGGGGGGGGGAGCCAAGGAGAAAGAGAGAAAGAGGAGTGGGTGCCAGGAGGGGGTCCTGGTCTGCTTTGCTGCTGCTGCTGTGCTGCTGTGCTGCGTAGGACAGGAGGAGGCAAGACGGAGAAGGGTTAGGCAGACGTGTGAAAGCGGGACGGTTATTACCTGAGCGACCCCCGTTACGTACAGTGGCACCCCCTCCGACGTCTCAATATTCTCACAGCGACATAGGATGGTCATGACTTCCAAAGACAGTCTGAGCAGCGATAAATAAGGGTGGGACACCAAACACACAAGGCGGTTACCAGATAGCAACAGAAGCCCCTGGCCGAAAGAAAAGACGGGGCTTTGTGTGTCTGTGGAGGGGTGGGGGGGGAGAGGGGGGGAAGCGGGCGTCATTGAGGGCAGGAAGCTTGGCTTTGCGTGTGTATGTGGGGGGGGGGGCGGTGTGCTCCGATAGGCAGGGGAGATCAGCCTTTTCCAGCAGGGTCCAGGCCAGGGGTAGGCCGCCTTGGCTCTTTTATGACTGGTGGACTTCAACTCCCAGAATTCCTGAGCCAGCCATGCTGAGGGGAAAGGGAGGCTCAGGAATTCTGGGAGTTGAAGTCCACCAGTCACGAAGGGGCCAAATTCCCAACGCTGGCTGAGGAATTTTGGGAGTTGAAATCTGCAAGTCACGGAGGGGGCCATAGTTCCCCCATGCTGGCTCAGGAATTCTGGGAGTTGAAGTTCGCAAGTCATAAAAGAGCCAAGATTCCCCACCCCTGCTCTATATCAGGGGTCCTCAACCTTGGCAACTTCATGACTCGTGGACTTCAACTCCCAGAATTCCTGAGCCAGCATGGGGGAATTATGGCCCCTTCATGAGTTGTGGACCAACTCCCAGAATTCCTGAGACAGCATGGGGGAAACTTTGGCCCCTTCATGACTCGTGGACTTCAACTCCCAGAATTCCTGAGCCAGCATGGCTCAGCTCGGAAACCTCTCCCTTTCCCCTCAGCACGGCTGGCTCAGGAATTCTGGGAGTTGAAGTCCACCAGTCATAAAGGGGGGCATAGTTCCCACATGCTGGCTCAGGAATTCTGGGAGTTGAAGTCCACGAGTCATAAAAGAGCCCAGGTTGCCTACCCCTGGTCTAGGCAGATGGATCACCCCCTCTTGGGGTCCTACACCCAAGAGGGGGGGATGTATTGGGGTGCAGAAAGTCCTGATAGGACCTGACCCCTTGGTGGGAGCACTCCAGGGCCACCTTTTCTCCAGAGACTGCCTGAGACAGATCCTGCCTTGATTTCTCTTTCCAGGCATCTTCTCTGTCTGTGGCACCCCCCCCCCCCACTCTGATGGAATGGGTGGCAACAGATGGATCCAAACTCATGAAGGAGAGAAGCAACCCAGAACTAAGGAGGAATTTCCTGACAACTGGAACAATGGATCAGTGGAATGACTTGCCACCAGAAGTAAATAATAATAATAATAATAATAATAATAATAATAATAATAATAATAATAATAATAATAATAAAAAGTTGGAAGGGACCTTGGAGGTCATCTAGTCCAACCCCCTGCTCAGGCAGGAAACCCTGTTCCATTTTGGATAGATGGCTGTCCAGTCTCTTCTTAAAAACCTCCACTGTTGGAGCATTTACCGCTTCTGGAGGCAAGGAGTTCCACTGATTAATTGTTCTCACTGTCAGGAAGTTTTTCCTTAGTTCTAGGTTGCTTCTCTCCTTGATTAGTTTCCACCCGTTGCTTCTTGTCCTGCCTTCAGGCACTTTGGAGAGTAGCTTAGTTCCCCACCCTCCAGTCAGAGCCAAAGAAGCTTCTGGGATGAGAAGCGAAATGTCTTCAAAGAACAAGAAAGTCCGGTTGCGTCCTGAAAAAAGCACCTTTGGGTTCCCATTAATTGTGTCTGCTTTCACCGGACGGCCTGCAACAGCGCAAGCCGGGCCAGTGGCCTCTCTTCCATGGAGGATGGCCGGGAAGGAAGGAAGGAAGGGCCATGGGAGACCCCCCAGCCCCTCCCTCCATCTCTCTCCACTCCTGGCAGAGGCAGAGGCCGGATGCCAACACCAGGGGGGGAGGGGGGCTCCAGGCCAACTTGAAGCAGCCCTGCC